GGATGGTGTTAGCTATTTTTTCTATTATTTCTATTTACTTGGGAACTGTCTGGCTATTTCCTTTATAAAATGTGATTCCTCATTTTCAGACCTAACACAATGGCCATAATCCTACTGAGTTTCCATAATCGATCCTAGACCATCTATGACTTCCAGTCTGACTTTTGAAAGGAACAGTGGATGTATTTTCCCCTAATGGTGAACTCTGTTTATTTAGCGTGCTCCTTGGGACATGCTAGGGATGTCGTTTCTAACCTCACTTCTTCACCTTCAGGAAAAGGGTCAGAGAAAACATTACTGTGGCCATATCGGGTTAGGTAAATATGCAGTACAAAAATAAACCAAAAGTAAGTCAACAAGCCCAAAGAGGGTGAATCAATACGTGAAGCCTTCCTGGTGGTGCTCTTGGAATCTGTTTCCTATCAGTTCTGCTTACTGTAGAACTCTTTGCTTTATAAATAGAAATACTAACAGATTATAGAACACAGTGAAGAAAAAGCTAGTATAATAATATTGCTTTGTGTTATGTCCTTAAAAAATGTCTAACTAATAGTAAAACTGGTGTTTTTAAAGAGCATTTAGTTAAGTAAGTAAATAAGCAGTTAAGAGAGAAAGTTTTTCTGTTACTAATATGTCAGAGACAGTGTGATTGGCTCAGGATAGAGCAGGCTTTAGAACCATTTTGCATAGGGTCACTATGAATTATGGTTGACTCGAGCGCACATAACAATAACACTACAACAGTGTTTTCATATAGACGTTGTTGTTGTGTACTGTTGTGTCAGAACCGGCCCATAGCTGACCCTCCAAGTTTTCAGAGGCAGTTAGTCACACAGGTGGTGACTGCCCATCCTTCTCCTACAGAGCAGCTGATGGATTCGAACTGCTTGCTTTGGGGATTACAATGCAGTTTCTTACCACTAGGTCACCAGAGCTCCTTCTGATATAGATAGTAGGTGTTATTGATAAAAACTCTAAAGAACTCTGGGGACCTAGTATTAAGAAGCTGCACTGCCAGTCCAAAGGTATGTTGTTCGAATCCACCAGATGCTCTGCAGGAGAAAGATGGACAGTCTTCTTCCATCTGATTTACTGCTTCTGAAAACCCAGTGGCGGGTCAGCTATGAGTCATTGCTGACTCGATGGGACACAGCAACAACATACTTGTTGATGAGTGAACTTGCATGAGTCCTCAGTCGTTTGCTTTAGAGCTGTGTTTTCAAAGGGCTTTTATTTGAGACAGACACGGAGCCCTGTTTTCTGACCCTGCCTTTTCTTAACTTTCTATGTTAGTGTTCTGTTGTTAGAAGGAGGGTAGAGAGAATGGTGCAGCAATGAAGGAATGAAAACCCAAAATCCCTGTAAATGTTCATTAAAACTAATAAAATTTAATAA